AAGCAAGCAAGCAAGCAAGCAAGCAAGCAAGCAAGCAAGCAAGCAAGAGCACGAGCACAAAACAACGCGCAAATAAACACCAACCTCTTGTGTGGCCAGGGGATAGGCATCAATGAGAGAATTTCAGCCAAAGGTGAGAGTGAAGCTAAGAGGCCATTGGGGCTGTAGATTTGTTTGATGGGCTCGCTGCATGGCGACGGTAGGTGTTGGGAGTTGCGGCCAGGCTATTGATGTGGTTGGTTGGGCGGTCAGTTTCATGGATGAATCTCGTCGCAACTAAGTTGTGGCATCACTCTAGGGCGATCTTGAGTGGCACTTGCTGCGTGGAGTTCGTGTAGAATGTGGTGCTAGTGGTCTGGACACACAAACCTTGCTTTATCAGCATTGAGCTCCATCTTTAGTCTTAGTAATGCGAAGACCGGATTAATAAACACACACCCCACACGTGGAAGGTCTAGGTCTAGATGGTCTCAGGTACCATTCATGAGGTCCACCTCCTCTGAATAATCTGCTCAGGGAGCAATCGTAGTCGTAGTCGTAGAAGCAATAATAGTAGTAGTAGCAGTAGTAGTGGTGGTGGTAGTAGTAGTAATAGAAGTAGTAGCACTGGTAGTCGTAGTGGTAGTGGTAGTGGCAGTGATCGTAGTGGTAGTAGTGGTGGTAGTAGTAGTAGTCGTCGTAGTCGTAGTAGTCGTAGTAGTCGTAGTAGTAGTAGTAAGTAGTATGTAGTCAGTAGTAAGTAGTAAGTAGTAAGTAGCAAGTAGCAAGTAGTAGGTAGTAGGTAGTAGGTAGTAGGTAGTTAGTAGTAGTAGTAGTAGTAGTGGTGGTAAGTGGTAAGTGGTAAGTGGTAAGTGGTAAGTGGTAAGTCGTAGTAGTAGTAGTAGCAGCAGCAGTAGTAGTAGTAGTACGAGGAGTAGTACGAGTAGTAGTACGAGTAGGAGTACGAGTAGGAGTACGAGTAGGAGTAGGAGTAGCAGCAGCAATAGCTAGTAGCAGTAGCAGTAGCTGTAGCAGAAGTAGTAGTAGTAGTAGTAGTAGTAGTAGCAGTAGTAGTAGCAGGAGTAGGAGTAGGAGTAGTAGTAGTAGTAGTGGTGGTAGTAGTAGTAGTAATTGTTGTTGTTGTGGCAGTAGTAATAATACGAAAAATTGACCTGGTTGTGGGCTCGGGTTAACTGGGGGGATTTCTGGTGCCCAGCTAGACCATTGGGGGGGAAATCAACCACAACAATAATACTTTTAATTTGGGCAATTTTTCAGTGCTTTTGTGGGCTCGAATTAACTGGAGGGGATTTATTAATCCTGACTTGACATTACATCTCGAGTCTATGCTGTACTACTTGGCCGCTTCCCTGAGAAAAGCAACCAGCCATTCGCGTGGTTCTCATTTGGACTCTGCCCTTGAACTGGTTCAAGAAGGCTTGTAGATTTGGTTTTGATTCTGTCCCTTCCATGCTTGGAAACTGGCCAGTCCTCGCTGCTGTGAGCCAGTTGACAACCATGTCCGGATCTGCCCCCTGTGAGCGAACATCATCTATCACACCTTCGATGAACTCCACAATGCCCGGAGAGATGAACTCAGCGCGTGGGTCAAAGCCAACCTCATGGACTTTACTCTCAGCGATCTCATAGAAGCTTGGCATTGTGTCCGCCTGGCGACATTCAACCCAGGAAACCATGTGCCTATGGCACGACCTTCGAAGATATTCGAACAGTTTGGCAAAGCAACTTGACTCATGTGGCTACAACGATTGCATGTTGAATGCACAATGCACAGCAGCTTCTGGAGTGGCTAGTGAGCACACCTGTTTGACCAGTGATATGGCCAGCAAAAGCTAGTACCTCAGGAAGTTCGATGTCTTGAACCGTATGCCTAGCGGCCCGACCTGGTACTTGTAACCCATGTTGTCAAACTCTGACTGCGTTCCACAGCGACAGGCCCCTCCACGCAAGGAGCAGGTTTGTGTCATGTTGGCCCAGCGCTGGCACCAAGCAACGGTTGGGCCAATGACCTGCAATGAGCTCTCCAAGCTCCACTCGGTGGCTGCCACAGCCGAAATCCGAGGGAAGCCCCACCTGAGTTCGGAGCACCGAGATGTGTCACTCAGTGACGTGGCGGGACATAGTCCGGTTTGTCACTTACTTAACTCAATCAACCACAATTATATAGTTGTTGGGAGCATCTGTGTGTATACATCGCACCATGCCAAAAGCAAGACATGACTTCAAGGTCAAGGGGCTCATAGTTCCGCATGATGACAACAGTCTTGAGATTCAGCAAAGCAGCCTGGCGGATTGGGCCACGCGAGTACCATGGAAACGGCAAGTGCATTCCGAAGGCATGAGGTGTCGCAGCCGTCCATGACATCGGATTTCCACCTGAGCAATGAATGTTGGGAATGCCAACAGCCTCCGCAGCAGTCTTGATGTCGTCATTGGAACTGGAAGTTCCCACAATGATTGCATCCACATTTTGTGCCACTGCGGTGTTCACACATGCCTGAACTTTGGCCACAGCATTCGTGTCCAAACTTTCCTCACACAGGATAGTATCCAATGTGTAGGTGTTGCCATCTGACATCGTGAATCCACCCTGTCCATTGAGAAATGGTGCAAAGAAATCATAGAAGCCTTCTTTCCAACCTGCATTGCTCTGCTGTGAGTTGTGGAGCATCATGACTTTGATGGTGTTGGCGTGGGCTACGGAAGCTAACATGAACGCCACGAGGGCACCTGACCAGCCAAAGCTCTGGTTATTGTGCGACATGCCTTTGGCAATCGTCGCGGACTTTTCGTTGCAACCACGGTGATAAAACAGGATCAAAAAGTTGCTTCCAAAGCTTGAGCAAAAAGAAGCAGCACAAGGTAGCGATGAAAACAGCACATGGTCACTTGTTATACAGTAATTAGGTAATTACCGTATGTCATGTCACAACTTTGTAATGCAAGGAAAGCTGGAACAAGCCGGTGGAACCGCCACCGAATTGGCCCTTCGCTGAGCGCGATTCTAGCCTGAAGCGGCATTCACCCGACACTCTTTCCGCCACTCCTGGTGACTCAAAACCAACATGGCACCCAAACGCGAATAGAAAATTACTGACCAGCAGCGTTCAATTGCATTGGACACACTCACACATATACCAGCACTGCGGCCCACACATCCGGTCTGGGCTGCTAAGCTTTGCAGAATGGTCAACCTGCTCGGGGATTTTGAGCCGTCGAAGGCCGTCGTCTTTGGATGTCGAAAGGATGGGCTGCTGTCTCTTACATCCGCACGATTGGGATCAAAAGGCGCAATTGGGTGCAAGAGATCGTAGAATCTCATAGAAGCCAGAAAAGGAAGACAAGGAAGGACGCGAAACAAATCAGTGCAAACATGTATCACACACACACATAAACAAACCAGAGTGTTTTGCATCGTTTTCATCTCGCAGCAAGGGTGCCTGAGGTATGAAGGAGAAGTCTGCCACCTCTGTTCAAGAAAAGTGTGCTTCACTGGCAGTTCCAATGCTGTTCCAGCTTGAGCTTTGCCTTTGAGTCGCTAGGTGCCCAGCCCAGTCTGGCTCTTCTGGAAGAGCTTCTTGCTTTGAGGCCTTCTTCTGTAGTGTTGCGTTGAGACGTGTGCGCTATGGCGGGCTGGCAGAATTGAGCTCTCCTCATGAATGGCGCCCTTCTCGAGGAATTCTGCGACCTGGACCACTGGACCACTATCTTCCCTCGAACATCTCGAATTAGCAATGAATTAGCTCTATATATATATATATATTTACAGAACGGGTGTCCCTGAGAGTGTCCAGAACGGTATATTATAGATAGATAGCGGCTTTTCCTCATTCAGCTGCTCTCAACGCAAACTCCGCCATCGCCTGTGCCGCAAGGAGATGGGCATCTGGCCGCTCAAGGGGATGCCGTTGCAAGAGCCCTCTCAGCCACCTGGCAGAAGACGCGCACGGGACTTTCACCACGGTGGCACGACACTCTCTTCTGGGAAAAGCATGAGTGCGTATGCCATAGGCGTTCTGTGAACATGCCTTAGCACCACTTCAGCATAAGCCTTGGCCAAAGTGCATGCTGAAAGAAGTTTCCCGACAAGAGCACTTCTTGATCTTCTTGTCAACGGCCGGAGGTTCATTCTTGTTCTGAAAATCTGGCGTCCTCTGCCTCTGATGGCACCTGGTAGCGGGCCTAAGCATGGTGACACAAAGTCACGGACACACATGACTGCCGTCCCCGCATTTTTGATAATTTTGCCATGTGGCTTGAATGTTGGCCAGCGCTGAGTCCATCGGAAATGGATGGATGCCAGTCAAGCAGGCAAAAAGAACACAGCCTTGGGCGAAGGTTAGGATGCCAGATTTGATCCACCAGCAATGTCAGGCAGGTGCCACATGGATTGGAATCGAGGGTTGCTGTCTGAGCTTGGAGCCAAGGGCAAACATATCTGCTTTGGGACCTGAGCCCACATCTCCCACTTCAAGGCCAAACAACATGTTGTGCCAACGGGGGGGGTTAGATGGGGTTAGCCCCGCCGGCAACATATATGATCGGTCTTTCAGGGTGGGGGGGTTGGGGTCAGTTTCGTCCGTGTTACTACTCGCGTACATCGACTTTAACGTTGACTTGTCGACTCGGTGACCTTTCGTTCGCTCGGTGACCGCTTTTCTTGGCTTAGAGGACGACGTTCGAGGTTTGTTTTAACACTGCGTAGGATGGGTTTTCTTGGCCGCTGCGATGCAAAGCTGCAACGACAGCACGTTGAAGGCCTCGCAGCGTTGTGGTTCCGCCAACATCCAGGTTGGACTCAATGCTCGAGGCTGTCCAAGACACTTGTCCACCAGCTCAAATGTACAGTGAGCTCAAATGGCTCAATTGGGAACAAGACTTATGTCTGGCGGCTGAACAATGAGCCTTGGCAAGCTGTACATGGAGCAGGCGGGTGAGTTGGGTCCGTCAAAACGCCTTCAACTTATCGTCTTGCAACTCATGAGTTGCAAGACGATAAGTTGAGTGTCCGGAAAGCCACGAAGCCCTGTAAAACACATGGCTTTTCACCCTCGGTGTGTTGCGTTCGGGGCTAACCCCCCCCGTTTACCCAACATGTTGCCACAAGCGCCGCAGGTAAACCACTAGTATAAAGAAGTGTCACTTGGCTTAAACAGAAAGCGGCCGACACCTACTGGTGCCCGTTGAAGTTAATACATTTTGCATGTGGGATACTAAACCACCATGGAACGCCGATTTGCAAAAGTCAGTACTTAAGTCAAGACTGCTGGCCTTCCCCATTGTAAACGCTACATACAGAACAAGGTCCTCCAGATTCGCCTTTCCAAAAAGAGAAAACTTCAACTGCAAATCCCAATGGCAACGCAATTTGGAGAGCCACTCGACGTGGTAACTTACCCCATCGCACATGAACTTGACCCACCCCCATGGCACCCCGCTTACCCCACGAATGTAAGAACTTACCCCATTTGGACAAAATGACACACCGCTTCGAAACAAGCACTTTTCTCCTAGATTGTTTCTAAACCTACACTATTCCATTGCGAGTCAACCTTCTACATGTTAATGTTTTCAAGTGTTATCTATGGGTTGCCGTGATCCAATCCACATGGCACCCCGATTCTGACCCACATGTTGGTACCAGCTTTAAGTTTCTACCTGGAGTGCAAACAGCATGGAATTGTTCTTTAAACGTCAAAAATATCTATGCATTCTTGTGTGTATTCCTCTCCCAATCCCCATGGCACACCGCTTCGAAACAAGCACTTTTTCTCCCAGCCTAGATTGTTTGTAAACCTACACCATTCCATTGCGATTCAATCTTCTACACGTTGATGGGTTCTAAGGTGTCCTATGGGCTGAAATGATCCAACCCCCATGGCACACCGATTCTCACCCACATGTTGGCACCACCTTTAAGTTCCTACCTCGAGGGTAACCACCCAGACACGAAAGTCCTTGCAAAGCAGTTGCGGCAAGCAAATCACACTGTGACACCACACCACGACTAAGTCACGGCAGAGTCACTTAGTTTTCGCGTGGGACACCGCGCTTCACCAAACAGGCCATCTAAGCCAAAACCATGCTTTCCAAGCCCAGTTTACAACCGGACACTCCCACAATGATAGGGTTTGTGCAACAACAGCCAGCAGCAAATGAGTAGGCTTTGTAGCGCAGGCAGCGGCAGCGGCAGCAGCAAGCAGCAGCCAACCAGCAGCAAAACAACACCAACAACCCAACAGCAGCAGAAGGTAACCAGGAGCGGCCAAACAGCAGCAGCAAGCCGGCAGCAGCAAACCAGCAGCAGCCAAACAGCAGGCAGCACCAAGCCAGCAGCAGCTAACCAGCAGTATAGTAGCCAACCAGCGCCAGCAAACCAGCAGCAACTGGCAGCAGCCGACCACCAGCAGCAAAACAGCGCAGCGCAGCAGCAGCAGGAGCAGCAGCAGCACCCAACCAGCAGAGGCTAGAAACTACATCATCCCATGGCACACCGTTTTCACCAATCCCACATCACAGGAGCAAATCCCACATTGTCCCCATGGCACATCGGCTTCCGATCTCTGCCAGAAGTATGCTAAGACCGCGAAAAAACCATGGTTAGCTTGCGTTTTGCCTTCTTTGGTGTCTGTGTGTGCGCGTTCCTGTCTTTCAACGACTGTGCAGGACACACTTCCGCGTGGCACACCTGCAAAAAATGTGAACATGAACGCTTGAAAACATGAGCCTTCAAATCGCTCCTTGCCTGGGGGGCCATGTAAATTGAAGAGGCCTTTGCTTATATACACATATGTGTTGTGACAATGGCAATCCCCATCGCACACCTCTGGAGGTCCTGGTGCCTGGTGGGTTGGGCGAGATGTGGGCAAGGTATTGGGCGAGATGAACACGTTTGCCCAGAAGACCCATGCCCACTAACGCCCAAACACAAAGTCCTTGCAATGCAGCTGTGGCAACCAATCAAAAACTGGGACACCACGCCGCGACTAAGTCACGGCAACGTCCTTGCGATACTTGTTTCCGCATAGAGCACCGCGTTTCACCAAACAGGCCTGCCACCAAGCTTGATGTCACGTTTCCAATGCCCAGTCTGCAATGGAAGAAGCCTGCTATAATCATAGGGCGTGCAAGACAATGACAGGCAGCAAATGAGTAGGCCTTGTAGCCCAGGCCGCAGCAGCGGCAGCGACAAGCAGCAGCAAGCAGCAAGCAGCAGCACCAGCAGCAACCAAGCAGCAAGTAGCAGCACCGGCACCAATCAGCCAGCAGCAGCAGCAGCAGCCAACCAGTAGCAAGCCGACAGCAGCCAACCGCCAGCAGCAGCAGTAGCCAACCAGCAGCAGCAAGGCAGCAGCAACAGAAAACCAGCAGCAGACCGGCAGCACCAGCGAAGGTAGCCCAATCAAGCTTTCCCCCAAGGGCACACCTCATCTGGCACAAGTTCGTGCCACTCAATAGTGTGCCCGCTTCACAGCGGAAGCCAGGTTTCCATGAGGACCCTGCTTCCGAGGGTTGGCCCTATAAGCCCTTGGAGGGTTGGACGTATGAGACCCACAATCCCAAGATGAAGGGGAACCTATGGGCTGCCTATAGAAACCTCTAGAAACAACCTATGGGTTGCCTGCCAACTTCCTTGCGGTAGGTCTTGTGCAATCAAAACACTGTGAACGCTGAGTAAAACAAGCCCATTGAATAAAACCATGCATTTAGAAAACATCTTCCAACACACTCTATCCTGCAAGGAAACGCTATAGTGTATCGACT